GGTTGTTGTTGTTGTTGTTGTTGTTGTTTTCATTTTAATAAACAACAGAAGTATTTTTTTTCCAGTGGTACAGGGTTTTGTTGATGCTTTTCATTGCCCAGGCCAATATTACAAATGTGCTATTCCAGGAAGGATTCTGGTAGGGCAGAAACTACTCCAGGCACAACAGGCTCACAGTACTGGGCCCGATCCCTTTACCTCCCTCTTACCAGCCTGTTGGTAATGGACAGATTTCTATGGAGTTGGGGGGGTGGGTAAGCAAAGATTAGTAGTTTCTAGCTTTTTCCTGCCCTGTCCACTTACAGAGTGCAGTGTCACTCCAGGAAAGCACCGCCACCCTCAGGTCTGATGCAGGGGCACAAGTGTTCTGCCAGGAGGAAAGGCATCCCTAAGGACAAAAAGCCTCAGAGCTGTGCTGGGGACACAGACTTTACTGGAAGACAGCCCGAAGAACTGCATAAGGGTGAGTGGAAAACAACAGAGGCCTTGATGTGGAGCAATTAAGAGGAGCTTGGTAGTTCTAAGATGTAGCAAAATGGCAGAACAATGACAGGGTAACAGAGAACCAGAGAAAGGCAGGGAAGAGCCTTCCCAAAAGTGCACTCAAGTCAATGGGCCATAAAGGGTGCGCATATGTGTCTGGCTGCCAGAAGCAGAACTCAAAACATCCCCCAGCAACACAGATGCCTCTTGACACAGGGCAGATGCCTCACAGACACAGAGGCCTTCGCAGATCCTTTGACTAAACATTTACTGAACAATGACCACATCAAGAGCTGGGATAACACCTAGGGAGCCAGGATTGAAAATAAAACTACACTCATCCCTGGGAGTTGGGGCAGACTGGGGCCCACATGCATTCCATCATGAGCAGTCCGAAAGATCGTCCAGGAGACAAGAAAAAACTCCCCAAGCTGCAAAAACTTGCCTCAGGATGAACCGTGTCCAGAGTTTTGTAACTGCTTTGATAACAAAGATGATGAGATTTAGGCATTTCTGAGTTGATATTTAGAGGAGAGTTAGGTTTACAGTGGGTACTGGAATGGGTTGAGACTTGGGGCATCATGGGATGGAGTGAATTTATTTTGCACATGAGATAGACATGAATGTGGTGGACCAGACAGTGGGCTTTTTTGATGTTCAAGTGAGGAGGGAGATTAGGCTGAGGCAAACCAAGACAATCAGTTGGATAGAATGTGTCAAAGGCCATGAAAACCCATGGCTAACAGGTTGAACAAGATGTTACCTAGAAGGAGAGGACATGTGCAGAACATGATACCAAAACAACATCAGTCTTTCAGGTCCTGAACACTTGGGCCAATCAGAAAAGTGCTATTTTCAATCCTTCCTGAGAATCTGGTGCTGTTCACAAGACCAATCAGATGTTATTGTCAGCCCTTCATTTACACATGGGCACAACTGGTCAAAAGACGCTGTTTCTGATCTTTTTTTGCATCTGGTGAGAAGCCCAGTGAGTTTCCAGTAAGACAGTTTCTACTGGGTGCAATGCCAAGCGAGTGAAGGACAAACATCCCAGTGCCTTATTTGCATGAGGAAGAAGCCAACTCAGGAATTTTAATTTTAGATACAAAAGTCTCCTTTCCCCTTATCCTTGGGGCTGCTATGAGGCTTTTCACCAGCTTGCTTTCATCCTAAAGAGTGTATTTCTTTTCACCTGCAACAAATACATAACCTTGACTAGCCATGGTGATGCAGGCCTGTGGTCCCAGCACTTGGGAGACTGAGGTAAGAGAATCACTGTGAGTTCATGGCCATCCTGGGCTACCAAGTGAGTTCAAGAGCAGCCTGAACTTCATAGTGAAATCTTGTCTCAAAAAGACCAAAAAAAAAAAAAAAAAAAAAGAAGAAGAAGAAGAAGAAGAAGAAGAAGAAGAAGAAGAAGAAGAAAAAAAAAAGGACAAATATATAACCTTATTGTCTTTCCAGTGTGTCTTTCTAATTCTTTGTTTGGGATGCTGAGAACCTGGAAAAAAGCCCCACAGAACCCATTGTTAGGTAATATAAATACATATGGAGCCCCAAAATGTAGCATTATTTGAAATTAGGGCCTCAACAGATATAATTCATTAAGATCAAGTCATAAGACTACTATGGATCCATGCCTGGCATGGTGACACACACCTATAATCCTAGCACTTGGGAGGCTGAAGCAGGAGGATCACATTGAGTTCAAGCCCAAGCTGAACTACATAGCAAGACCCTGTTAAAAAATATTTTTTAATTGCTTTTGTGTGTGTGTGTGTGTGTGTGTGTGTGTGTGTACCAGGGACCAAACTCGTGACCTCACACTTGCCAGGCAAGTGCTTATGCCACTGAGCTAAATCCCCAGCTCCTTTGCTTTTGTTTTTGAGACGTGTCTCATGATATAGTTCAGGTTGGTCTTGAACTCACTAAGCCCAGGCCAGTTTGAACTCACGGCAATCATCCCATCCAACTTCCCAAATAATGGGATTACAGTGTCTACCACCATGCTGGCTGGTTTTGTTTTGTTAGGATTTTTTGAGACAGGGTCTCACTGTGCAGTTCAGGGTGGCCTTGAACTCACTATGTAGACCAGGCTAGTCTTGAACTCGTGGTGAACCTTCTGTCTCAGCTGCTATGATTACAAGCATGCACTACGTAGTAGCACATTTCTGTAATTCCAGCTACTTGGAAAGCTGAGGCAGGAGGACTGCAAAATTGAGGCCAAGATAGGGCACTTAGTAAGATCCTGTTTCAAAATTTAAAAATATTAAAAGGGCTGGAGGTGTAGCTCAGTATGAAAGTTTCAAGTTCAGCCCTCAGTACTTCAAAAAGAGGAGAACAAGAAAAAGAAAAAAGAAAGGCCACATAGTGACACAAATACACAGGGAAAATGACTATGGAAAATGAATGCAGAGACTGGGTGAAGCATCTCTAAATGTAGGAAAGCCAAGGATTACCAGAACCTTCTGGAAGCTAGGAGAGAGGCAGAGCCTCAGAGCCTCCAGGAGGAAACCAGCCTTGCTGACACTTTGATTTGGAGCTTCTGAACACCTGAATCATGAGGGGGAAAATTTCTATTGTTTCAAGTCTTAAGTCTCACTGAATGTTGTGATTTATTAAAACAGTCCTAAGAAATACACATAAGTGCCAAAACCATTAGGGGAAAGAATGGTGTTTTCAACAAATTGCATTGAAACAACTATATATCTATGTGCAGAATAAATAAGTTGGACCTCTAACTCACATTATTATTTTATTTATTTTGGTACTGGGATTCAAACTCATGACCTTGTGCTTGCCTGGCAGGCACTTTCACTGTTGAGCTATCTCTTGGCCCTAACACGTTATTATAGACAAATATGTTAGGTAGAAATATAGGCAATCAGACAGGAAGAGACCCTCAAAAGAGTCTGCAGAAGACAAGAATACGTTACACTGTGGCTGGCGTCATTTGTTGACGGCCAGGCCTCAAAATAAAGATGGATGGCCAAACCTACGTTACTCCTGAAGGGATAAGCAATAAATATAAGATTATATTATAATGTGTATCAACTGGTCCAGCAGAGTCCAATAGACATCAGTCATCCAGGTGGGTCACCAGGACCTCTTGATTCATCCCTTGCTTTTTTCTTTGGACAGGCTCTCGCTATACAGTATAGCCTGGAATTAAACTTGCCTGTGGAACCCAGACTGGCCTCAAACTCACAGCAGTCTTGCCTCAGGCTCCTGAGTGCTGGGATCACAAGCATATGCCATCACACCTGGCTCATTCCTTCCTATAAAGGTCCTTGTCCTTTCTATGTACACTAGCTATGTGACCTGCTTCCCCTTGGGATCAATGCTACCTAAGTGGCTGTACTTGTAACCTTATTGGTTGATCCTAGTTTTAATCCATGTTGTACTCACCTCATGATTTTGTACCCATCTTTGATTTTGCTTTATAAAACTTCCTCTGTGAAGTGGGGACTATGGCAACCAATTTTGGGTCCCCTCCTGTATCTCAGGAGCTATCTCTCTCAATAAATATTTCTTACTCTTAACTTTCATTGTTTCTTAGGATTAATAATATTCTTTGATTCTAGGGAACACAAATTCAGTGTATCTGACATCTAGCAGGTTGGGAGTTATTTTTAAAATTAAAAAGGCACCAATGAGATGACATGGCAGAACTCATGAGAAAGCACAGGAGCAAATTTCATGACCTTTTTGTGGCTATCCTGCAGTGTGTGGATGAGGGCCTTCTGGCCCGGTATCTTCATTGTTGGGTATGGCTTATTCCATCTCACTGACAGAGACAAAGGTGGCAACAGATGGTTGGACCTGGTGAGCTGACCAGAAGGGAGCTCTTGGCTTCTTTACCTCTGCTTAACATTTTTGCTAGTGCTGAAGATTCTAACAAAGTCCTTCAGTAGTGATATGATCGATGCCATGTCAGTCTTTTTGCTGTCAGATCACCTCATCTTCTTCAACTGTGGTGCCAATGTCGCCCTTGTATCCAGCAAGCTACCCTCTGATGTGGCCATCTTTGCTTTGGTCTGCCTGGCCTCCCACCTTCCTTGGCCCCTGTGTGCATTCATCATGGGAATATTTGCCGTCCAGATTTTTGCACATTCTCTGGCCCACATTACCGGAGAACTGAAAGCCTATGCTCCTCACAGCTACATGGAGTTCCACTTCTTTCCCATTCTCAGCTTTGGAGGCCTGCTCCCCATCAGTGCTGGGGGAGCAGGGCTCTCTCCTTCCTGTTTTCTGTTTCCTATCTCTGTCTTTTCTACCTCAATCGCTTGCAGCCTTTTAAGGAAGAAATTCATGGGCCCTGGGATAAAGCTGAAATCAAAGACTTGCCCAGGTTCCTCAGCTAATTTAGAGACCTCTATTAAATTATGAAGGCCAGCTGCTAGACTAGCATCCTGCTGGTATAAAAGGTAAGGGTAGCGTTCCACTCTGGAAGCTGAAGCTGAGGTAGTGCGGAGAACAGAGATCAGAAGAAAATAAATTAACCCAAGACTTATGTGTGAAGGTGATTATCTTTTTTGCTATTTAATGGATAAAAGTATTTTCTGGTGCCCTCTTGAATTATTGCCTCTCATTTATAATTTGCAGCAACTAATGAAGTGATGTGGTTTTTACTTATTAAATACATACACGCCTACAAGAATAAAAGGCCTAAAACTCAATAAGAAGACAAATAACCCAATTTTAAAATAGACAAAGAATCTAAATACACATTTCTCCAAAGAAGACATATATATATACCAACAAGCATGTGAAAGATTACTCTTCACACTGGGCATTATGGAATACAGCTATAATTCTGGAACACACCTGGGAAGAGTAGAACACATTCTGGGAGGCTGAGGCAGGAGGTTCACAAGTTCAAGCCAAGTCTGGGAAATTTAGTGACTAAGGGAGCCTCTGAAAATAAAAAAAAAGGGCTGGGATGTAGTTCAGTGTGAGGTCCTGGGTTTAATCTCCCAAACCAAACCAACCAAACAACACCCCTCAAAATCTATGTGTTTGGGTTTCTTTTAGTACTAGACTGAACACAGAATGTTGTGCATACTAGCAAACAACTCTACCTGGAGGTGAGGGTACCAGGTATCGTGACACAAACCTAGAATCCCAGCACTCTGGAAGGCTGAGGCAGGAGGATTGAGCCTGGTCTGGCCAATCTAATAATTTAGAGAGACTCTGCCTCAAAATAAATAAACCAGGTGTGGTGGTGCATGTCCATAATCCCAGTTTTTGGGAGGCTGATGTAGGAGAATTGTTGTGAATTACAAATTGAGACCCTTTTTCCAAAAATGAATAAAATAGAAAAATAAAAATGGGCGAGGCATGTAGCTCAATGTTGCGGCCTTAGGTTCAATTCTCAGTACTAAAAAAACAAACACACAAAAAGATTGGAAAATGTAGATTATTTGGGCCCTACCTCATAAAATAAATGACACTCACCTTTGGTCTTTCACATATAGCTGCAAGTGTCCCCATAGGCCTCTGTGCTGTAGATAGCTTCAGGCTTGGCCAGAGTGGTGAGTCGCTACAAACAGGTGGCCAGCTGACCTTCTGGCCATGCCTTCAGGGCTGTCATTTCTCTAGGGCTCCTCTCAAACATCCACACTGGTCTGTAGCATCATCATGTGCAATCCTTTTGGAAAATCGGCACACAGGTCAAATCCAGAGCCAGAAAATGGAATTTCATGAAAGAAAAACTCACTAGTCCTTTCCTTGGTTGAAGTGGCAGAAGGATGATGCCTACTAGCATCTTTTATTGTTTGTTTTTTGAGACAGTGTTTCACTTTGTAGTGTAGGATGCCCTCAAACTCACTAGACAGCCCTAGTTCACCTCCAACTCACAGCAATGCTTGAGTTCTGGGATTATAGGGGTGTATCACTGTTACCTTGCTGTTGCTGGGGTCTTCAAAAAAAAAACCTCAATGATCATGGTGAATCCAACAAAGTAGATACTGTTCAGGGTCTTTCTGGCTCTATTAGGCCGTGAGCTACTTCAGAATTTCCCAGTAGGGAAAGGAAACAGAAATTGTTCTGATTTTTCTTGCTCCAAAACAATTCCTATTCCAGGAAGGATCCTGGTAGGGCAGAAACTACTCCAGGCACAACAGGCTCACAGTACTGGGCCCTATCCCTTTACCTCCCTCTTACCAGCGTGTTGGTAATGGACAACAATGGGACTTGGAAAGTCAAAAAAAATTGTGCATCCAAGCAGATGACATGAAACTGCAGGGCCTTTGTGCAAAGCTGGGAAGGGAGGAAGTCATCTTGGATTGACCAGCTCCGGGGAAGTTGGGGACAGAAGTCGGGGGAACTCAGAATGGTGGGTGCTGCGGGCCACTCGTGACAGAATTCACCTCTGGAGCAGAGACTGTCTCCATAGTGTAGGTTAGCCAAGCAGAGTGAACGCAGGCTACCTTTAAGCTCTTCCTTCTCCCTTTGACTGGGAACCTCAGAGTTAGTTACTGAGTAACTGGTAAAGGCAGCTAATGTGACCCTAAGCCCTTTTATAGAGTCAGCAGTGTAAAAGCTGTAGCCAGACAGTGAGTCCAAGGTCAAAAGTTGGGAGAAACCAGATTCTAGACTAAATTTCACAGCTGCAGGGCAGAGAGAAATCAGTCACATGTATGTCATGTAGAAGGCAAATAAATGGAGCAGAAGGGAAGAAATGAATTTGTGCAGGATTTAAATCTGCCTCAGACTGTCTTGATGTAACAAGGGTCAACCACCCGAAACCCAACTGGGCAAGACCTGATGAGTTTTGTTTTTTCAGAGTATTTTAAGCATAGATCTGTGGAGGAGATTATGACTTGACATTCTCTAATCTCTCTCTCTCTCTCTCTCTCTCTCTCTCTCTCTCTCTCTCTCTCTCTGACAGGGTCTCACTATGTATCCTAGGCTGGCCTCGAACTCTAGAAATCCTCCTACCTCAATTTCCCAAGTGCTGGGATTACAGGAGTGTGCCACCAAACCTGGCCCTAGCTTTTCTTCTACTTCTAACATACCCAGAGGTATGTGATTAAATGTGTGTATCCTTTGCAAACCCATCCAAGGGGCTTTCCTTCCTCTCCCTATTCTTCTGGGCAGTCTGTGGGTCCCTTGCTCAGAACTTAAGCTCACCTCTCTTTTGTATTCATCTTACCCTACTGAAAGTATTTATTTGCATAACTCTTTTTTTTCTCAGTAATCTCAGATGATATTTGCATAACTCTTTCCCCTTACTTTTCCCCTAACTTACTGAGGTAGAACCATTTCTTACTCAGTTTTATTTCTTTGTGTTGCACATGCTTGCCTCCACATAGGAAGAATAAACCACTAGCAAATGAAGGATTCCGTTAACTCAAAACTAAAGGCAGGTGTTGTAATTCAATCGTCTTGTCCTCCTGGAGTCTCACCTTCTGCAGCATTGTTCCATAAACAGGAAGCTCCAACCCTTCCTTCAACTTGAAGTTCCAGTGAAGAACCTACCCCATGTCCACAACTTTGTGCTTGCCATATTGCTGTCCTCTATTCTGGTGTTCTCCTCTTCTCTCTCTCTTTGCTTTGGGACATGCTACTTTGCCCTGACTTCCGCACCCAACACACAGGGAGCTCCTGGAAGGCAGGACCATTGTCCAGATTATCTGACCAAGTGCCTCAAACTCAGCCCAGGCTCAGTCCAGGTTTGCTCAGGAAAGGAATGCAGTACTTTGGCTTTGAAGACCTTCTGGCCTCCACCAGGCAGCTCCTCTTTATGTCTTGGTTAACTGCCCCTTATTTAGGTGGATTTGCTCAGAAGAGATGAATTGAGTAATGGCAGGTACAAGAGTGGCCAGCTACTTCCTGTGGTCATTTAGTTAACAGCCCTTTTTAAATGAGGAAATACTTGGCTCTTCTTTATTCTGTGAAAGCCAAGGGGTTCTGGGAAGAGGGCATGCTGTGGAGACATCTCCACACCAATCTCACTTTATGACCTGCCCCAGCCCTGGAACAATGCCAGGCTTCCATAGAGTTGAAAATGGGGTAAGGTTTGATTTATTCTGTCCCACTTACTTATATGCCTCTTATCCCCCTTTTTCTTTCTTTCTGTGTCCCAGTTTCTAGATTAAATGTTTCTGCTCTGTTCCTGTCCCTCCAGGATGTAGGAAAGGGAATTTGATCAATCAGTAACCAAGGGTAGAAAACTAAATGCTTGCAGAAGTCAAAGGAAACAAGCCAAATTGGCTGGGTCAGGATAAAGAACACCGTTCCCTGATTAAAGAGACAGCTGTTTCCTTGTTAGGGTGATGGATCTTCGCAGAAGCTGCAGACCAGGGCCACCAAATCTTGTTTGACATAATCACCTTTTGTTACGAGTCTTGGCATTATCAGGAAAAATTGCCCAACACAGGGAAAAGAGACTATGGGGTGTCCTTTTAGTGGACTGCAGAGAATACCCATGAACTTTTCAGCAGTACCTGACTCTACAGGACTTGCGTTGCTTTTTGTTTTTTGTTTTGTTTTGTTTTGTTTTGTTTGAGACAAGGTCTCACTATGTACTCTAGGCTGGACTTGAATTTTCTGTGTAGCTCAAGCTGGCCTCAAACTCAAACTCAAACTTTTGGGTGCTAAGATTACAAGTGTTTGCCACCATGCACAGCTTGAGATAGAGTATCCTCATTATCTAGGTGAGCCCAATATAACTATGAGAGTCCTTCTAAATGGATAAGGAGGGAGGAGAGTTGAGTCAGAGAAGGAGACATAACAATGAAAGCAGAGAATGTAGGAATGTCTGGAGTAAAAAAAGCTCAACACATATTTGCTGGCTTGAACAGGCCCATGAGCCAAGGACTGTGAGTGGACTCTCACTTTCTATGTGAAAATAGCACAGAAATAGATTCTCACCTATTTCATTGGAAGGAACACAGCCTTGCTGATTCCATGTTTTTAGCTAAGAAAATGTATTTTTTAAAGTGTTTTATGAAGCATGCAGCTCGCCTCCCTGTAAGCAGCTGTGGTGTGGCAGGATACAACCCCTACAGGGGGAGAACCACCGGTGTCTCCTGAGATGTGCACCATGTTGGAACTTAGAAAGCTGGGAAACCAAGCAATCAGCCTGCCTCCCTGTTAAGCAATAGTGAGCCTACCGGTGCCCGGGCTTAGAGTCAAACATCCCACTTCCCCTGCCCCCCTTTAGCAAATGGGAACCAGAGATCTGAGCATCTCTTGGGAGGATGACCATATGCAATGTAGCAAATAAGGGGGATTTCCTTCTACTATCTTTTTGAAGGCAAGTATTTTTACTACTGTTTTGCTTTATTCTGGTTAATGGTGCTGTTCTATTCAATATTCTGTTTTGATAAGTTCTATAATGTTCTGTACTTCATTTTATTTTGCTATACATGGTTGAAAGAACAACTATTATGATGATAATGAGATATACTGTGATACCTATTGCTGTTATCCCAGTAACCTGCTGTGAAGTTCTGTACCAATTTCACTACACTGTCTCAATTGGCTTTGTTCTGTCTTGTTCTGCTGTGTTTTACTACCTTCAAAATAATTTTTTTAAAGTGTTTTATTGTTAGTTGTTTTGCTTTGTTTTGTTTTGTTTTAGACAGAGTCTATGTAGTTCAGCCTTGAGCTCACTAGGTAGCCCAGGCTGGTCTAGAACTCATGGTAATCCTTTGTCTCAGTATAGTAAACCTATTTTGGATTCCTGACCTCTGACTGTAAAATATTCCAATTAAGTTGTATGAGAATAAGTCTGTGTTGTTTTAAGTCACTAAATTTGTGGTAATTTGTTAGAGCAACATAGGAAACTAAAACCAGATTCTTTACAACCTCTAAAGGCAGAAGTTAAATTATAGGCAGGCATAGCACTGCATTCCTATAATTCCAGCTCTTAGAAGGCTGAGCTGGAAGGATCGTGATGAGTGAAAGACCAGCCTGAGCTGCATAGACCCTGTCTCAAAAAAAAAAAAAAAAAACCAAAAAGGAAAAAGCTAAATCCTAGGAAACTGATAGTAATACAAAGGTCTTTTGTCCATAACAATACAGATAAGATCTGTTCATAGATCTATAAAAGTATTTTGTTCCTGGGCAAGGCCCTAGGTTCTGTCCCTAGCAACACACACACACATACACACATTCTGTCCAGTGGAGATTATAAAGTTCTATGAGTGAAATTTTCATTTGAGTTGGTTTTAATATCTTTTGGTGCCATTATTACTTTTGTTTTGAAACAGGGTCTCACTATGTGGTTCAGGCTGGGCTTGGGCTCACTTTGTAGCCCACCCTGCTCTCGAACTTGCAACAGTCTGCCTGCCTCAGCCTCCTGAGTGTTGGGATTACAGGCGTGTACCACCACACCTGGTTTAATTAATTATTTCAATAAAAATGTTTGATACATGTTGCATTTTGTGCAAGTTCATGCATTCAACTTTTATTATTATTTTGTTTGTTTGTATGTTTGTCTTTGAGTCAGGGTCTTGCTATGTAGTTTGGGTTGGCCTTGAATTTACTATGTAGTTTAGGCTGGCCTTGAACTGTAGCAATCCTTCTGTCTCAGTCTTCTGAATTCTGGAACTGCAGGTGTGTGCCACCACATGTGGTCTCAACTTTTAAAAACTATGCTTTTACAATGTTATACACCTCTCTACCTTTGAATGTAACATC